TTTTGAATCCACAAAATACTTTTTTGGTGCCAGCATTGACTGGCCAAGCAATCTCACGTGATCCTCTGCAGCAAGTGATGGCTAAGAGGGGAGTGTCATCACGACTTTACACAAGTGTGTCTTTACCTCTGTGGCAGAGGCTCAGCCGAACCCCTGAGACCGGCTCATCGAACCCCTAGGGTTMGATCAAACCCAGGTTAAGAAYCACTGCAAAGCTTTAAAAATGTCCTCATGTAGGTCATTCTTTAGACTTTCCTTTAAGTCGCCAACAAGTTGATGTTTATTAGAATTTCTAAATGATAGATTTAAATTCCAGGTTTGAAGAATAAAATGCAGCACTTATGATTTGCTACTCCAAATTCTAAACTGTTTCTAAAAGTATCTTTTTTAAAAATGCTAACATTTTTATTTGTCAAGAAGTCATTGTGATGTGGATGATGTTCCTATTGAGAATCATGTTATTTGGGGGAAATAAGATTAAAATAAATCTCAGATCTAGTTGTTGGTAATATTTTTTTAATCTTGCGCCATCATCAGTTTTAAAGAACTCATTTTTCTAGTTGTCTGTTTAGCTGCTCTGAGTTATAACTAACATGGCTCTCATACATATTATCTCTGAGCCTTACATATGTATTTTTATCTGTTTCGCACTTAGTTCCTGATAATGGCATGGAGCTGCATTGAGCCGTGCGATCCTCACCCTTTCTGACAACTTCTATACTGTCCAGTGCTTTGAGATGATGACAGGTGCGCCAGACTCCGTTCGATAACTTTGGAGGAGGACATAAGAGGCTCAAGTCTTCCTCTAATTACATGTTGGCCAGAGAGACGGAAGCTGGAGTTATCAGAGCAAGCCAGTGATCCGTAAAAGCTCCAGCAGAGCTCTGATAATCAGAGTTTCCCTGTCCCAGCGTCCCCGAGATACAATCTCACTCCTGCAGAAATCGTCAATGAGATGATCCATAACCACAATCATTAAGTTATGGGAATGTAACWGAAGTTGTTTTCCAGGGACATTCAATCAAGTAAAAGCAAATGTGATATCAGACCTAATTTAAATTACTCATAGCATCTTTTGTTGTGTTATCAAATGATTAAACAAAAACGTTTAATTGATTAAAATTTGGCCCTCTCCATAATGAGTTTTATTTTTTAAAAAAAAGCAGAATGTCTCCTCTGTGATCACTGCCTGTCAGGATGGATTTGCTTTTGTGCTGGAGTCATCTTGTTTTCATCAGACCAAAGTGTGAATTTTAGCCCCTCACAGTTCCCYGGGTTTTCTCTTTTGGCTTCACTTGCTGTTTTTGTTTGTAGAATCAGTTCCTTTTGTCTCGTCTCCATACTCGTTTGTTGTGTCTCACTGGTTCCCAGTGTTGGCGGGACTCCATCAGGGCTGTGCGTCCCAATTCAGGGGGCTGCAGATCGCAGCCCACGGTGGGCCACCGTCTTTGAATGACTCATGTTTGCTTGACCACACTACCCCGTTACCATAGTGATGTGTTTTATATCAAGTGCCTTCAGAATTAAAATTTGTTGGGACGTGTGGTCACACGTCTTTCACTGGAGGAATAACTTCACAAATAAATAGAAACATTAATAATTTGGGTTTAGCTCCAGCAGTGCTTGTAATTGCATTTTATTTAACATCTCATTGCAGCAACAATTTCATCAGCTAACTTGCTGCATTTAAAAACAAATGATTAATT